CCCTCTCCCCTCATGAAGGGGCAGGGGCCAGCTACCCCCAGACACCCTGGGCTGAGGTCTCACAAGCAGAGGGGTTAGGCCAGAGACCCCCACACTGGCAGCAGGACCCCGTCCCCTGCTCTCAGCCATGCTGGAGCTGCCTGCCCCTACGTCAAAAATTTCTTTGGGATTGGGATAGTGAATAGTTAATGAAGGCTGCGACCCAATTAATGGCCAAAGAGCTTCCAACCTTTCTGTGCTGGACTTCGTGACTTGCTGCCCCTGCTTTTCCCCGGGAGCCACGCTGGGAGGCTGATCACAAGGGAGATGCCCAGAAACTAGAAACACGTGGAAGAGTTTGCTCCTGCAAGCACAGAGGATGTACATGTCACTTCTTGCTCCCCCAGACCAGAGGGTATATGGGATTTAACCTGCGGGTTACAGGAAAGCTGGGAACAAGAGCCCCGGATGCCAGCCTAAAAAACCTCAGTTGGCAACACAGCCATTCCCTGACTGAGGGGATTTCTGTTCCTTCCCATTCCAAAGTTAAAATTTTCAGTTTGACAGAAGAAATTCCTCTCCGGCTTTTCCATGCCAACCTTTTGAAAGCTCTTCGGTGCGACTTGCTCCCTTCTGCTGCATGACCTACTGGGACATGATCACTCTCTTTTTCATGTCTCATTTTAACAAGGAGCACCTTCAATAAACAAACACCATTTTGTCCAGAGACAGAGTGGAAATTACAGACCACGAGTGGTCTGAAGCTCTGCTGCTGCTACTGCAAATGCTTGCCTACAGCCCAGGCCTTGGTTTGGTTTTTCCACCAGCAATCCTCCCTCGAGGGATTCTGCAAAACAAACATTGACTGCACTCTGCAAATCATCAGTAAATAATTAGCAATCAAAGGTCATAATGGCTCAGACCTTCGAATACAGCTGCTCCTGTTGAAAGTTAACCACGGGGTATTTGCAGCCAATGATCCAAGCTAAGCAAGAGAGGAAGGTTTTAGGGAAACAACAGGTCATAGTGGACACAAAATGGAGACAGTAGGAAGTTCTGAGCAAATCCCTGCATCCAGCCCCAGGACGCAGGAGGGCTCTGGCAGGGCTGAAGCGAGTGCAGGGAAGAAGGGGGAGTGGGGTGTCTGGACAGGCCTGAGCAGGATAGGTCAGGGAAGCTGGGGCGTGAGGCAGAGCAGCATGGCAGTCTGAGCAGGAGGCATCGAGGAAGAGCAGGCAATCCAACCAACAGCCATGACACACTCAGCGGAGTCCTGGAAATGAGCTCCGGGAATGAAAAAAAGAGGAAAAAGGCAGTATTTTCAGATGGTATTTAATAGGAATCTGGCTTTGAGATTAGTAATCTGCAGACATAGAGAAGGCACATAAATTTGAAGACAGCTCTCCAAGATCAGCTCTGTTTTCTGAGAAGAATTATTGGAAAAAAAGAAGAAAAAGATTATGGCTTCTCAGAGCAGCCCATATATGCTAATCACGTTGCACGCAATATGCTAATCACAACAGGGGAACATGGCCTGTTATCTTGAAACACAGCTGATACTGTCACACCACCAAAGGCTGTTTCTGTTGCTCTGGCATATTGCAATGAGCCGTGTGGAGAAGCAGAACAGAAATGCGTGGGCAGGAGAAGCACAGCACCATCAGTGAGACTTTGCCACTGCCCCGTGGCTCGGGTCACTTGAAGAAGAAGCCATATTTCAGCGGATCCTCCTCTTCAGCAGTGAAGGTGGCTGTACCAGTGTAAAAGGCTTCTCCTGAGACTTCCACAATGACAGCGTTGTAGTCCCCAAACTTGGCTTCCTGCAGAGGGATTAGGATCAGGACAGAGGTGACAGGAGGTTCTCTGCTCTCCCAACCCCACGAGATCCCAGCGCTACCTGGCGCTTATGCAGTCACCCCTCACCGAGCACCACCCTGCCGAGGTACATCCCAAAGCATGCAGCAGCCCTTTTACTGCCTCACCTTGCCTGCACGAACTCCACACTTGCACAACTGCTGCTGGCCCTGCTCTGAGCTCACGAGCCCCTGCATTGCCACAGCATGGGTTTGCCTTAAAGGAGGCCAACACACTGGTGGCTGCTTGGTACCCAAAAACAAGAGCTCCCTGGGGCACATCCAAACCTTTACAGCCACGTGCTGCCAGATCCCATGGGACCAGGCCTGGGCCTGGAAACCTGGATGTACAGACCCAGCTTCTACATCTCCAAAAATGTGCTCAGCCTTTGAGCAGGGAAGAGGGGACTAAACCAGGAATTCATCCTTAGCTGCCACTGTGAGTGGACCAGACTGATTTATCTACATCAGAGGTATTTCTCACCCCAGTCCTTTCCTGAGGGCCGAGAGAGGATTTGCAGCGAAGCCATGCAACAGAACAATGTTACTTGCTTCTCTAATGAAAAATCCTGAAGCGTGAGGCTGTGGGAAGGGAAGACCCCCAGGTACCTCCCTCCTTCCATACGCCCTTTCCCAGGCACAGAAAGGCTTTTCTGCTTCTCTGCTGAGCCAAGGGAACAGCACTTTTCCAGCAGTCCTCAAGACAGAGGGAAAGTCCAGCACAAGCCACTTGCCTTCACTGCTTTCCCAGTGAAGAAGGACCCCATGGTGCTGCTCCGAAAGGTTCTGGTCTGGTTCAGCTGGATGAGTCCCTTATGGTACTGCAAGGCGATGCGAGCTGTCACACCCGAACCTGTTGGACTTCGGTCAACCTATATTCAGAACAGAAGATGAACCAGCTCTAGTATTTTGAGGTTTTTTAATAGAAAACCATATTGTTCCCCTCAGTTCTCTTTGCCACCTTTATACTGCACTTGGGAGAAACCCCTCTAGCCCAGGATTTTGTACAGAATCTGGATACATCACATATGAGAAGACAAAATAAGCAGGTTTGGGGTACTTTTGGATTGTGATCAGCTTTGGCAAACTTGTAATGTTTGATGTACTAAATATTATTACTTGATGTAATAAATATTGAGGCTATTTAGGGAGCACTTGAAAACTTCCCAGCATCATAGCAAAAGGACTGAGAGGGGCAGAGGCCACCTTCCCCGTCCTCCTGCATAAAGCAAGGTAGGATCAGAGCTGCTGGCCAGCCTGGTTTTTAAAACCTCCAAAAGCACGTTCGCCAGCTTCCGAGGTGATCTGTCCCCATGCTGGTAAGCCCAACTGAAACTTCCCCTGCTATTTATGTGATACCTTATCCACTGCAGACAAGGACAGAGATTTACATCGCCTCATTTCTCTCTTGCTCTGTTCATCCTCAGTAACTGTTCCCTAGATTTGGACTTTAAGGACATGCACTATGTGGGGATCCTGCCTCAGCCCCTGAACTCCTGGGAAATTCCTACCTATGGGACATGGGTAAGAACCTTTTTAAAATGCCACCATCTAAGATGTGCAGAAGTATTTCTGTCGTTAGGAACTAAACCAGCATGTGTTAAGTGACACTCAGCTCTTCAGAGACATCACTGCAGCAGAAGCAATCATCACTGCCCAAACCGAGAAGAAGCAGAACCCTCCCTTGTCTCTGCAGTGGATGTAAGAAGGGCAAAAGGTGGTGCCTTGTGTGTCTGAGAAGAGCCCGTTTCTGTACCTGTTCATCTGCAAACACACAGATGTTGGTGGTGGGCTCCTCACTAAAGGCATCTTTCCCATCTGTCAGTATGGTGCCGTAGAGGAAGGCCAGGTCTTCACTTTCAGGGTGATGAAGCTTGAACTAGGAACAGCACAGACAGGCTCACCAACGCGTGCAGCAGCTGGCACTCAGCAGTACGTGCAGCACAGCTTCCTCGAGAGACCAGAGGAAGGGGACAAGGCCACACTGTTGCATTTCCACCTCTGCTTCTCCAGTAACAGAGATGGATGCAGCAGCAGGAACTCATGTCCTTGTGAGGCTGGAGGAAAACTCTGAAATTCAACATGGGGCTGGAAGGATGGGACTCTCTCCCATCCTGACCATCTCAGGGGGAATAAAGGGCCTCGCTATGGTGCAGTCACCCCAAGGGAAAATGCGGGGGTACTGCAGCATTCCACCATACCTGTTTCTTCACTGCTTCCCGCACTGCGCTTGCTGCATTGACGAGGTCTCTGGTCTTCGAAGAGCACACATCAAGGCCCAGCTGCTCAGCACTGAGAAAGGCGTAGAAAGTGCCACCATAGCCAATGTCGACCATCACCTTCCCGTGACCAGGGACATTGATGGCCAAGTCTGAGCAATGAAAGGGAGGACAGTGAGGAGGGGGAACCATGCTAAGCCATGGGCATGCATGTGGAGCAAAAGAACCGAGCTGCATGCAACGCAGGGGACAAGGAAAACAACTTGAGTACTCTCATGCCAGAGAGCGGAATGTGATGCCTTATGCCACGCCCAATGATGTCATCCTGCCTCTGGGGGACATCAGAATTGGGGACCGATTTGACAG